CCATTTGAGCTTAATTTATAAAACTGTTGCTTGGAAATTCTAAAAATTTTTACATCTAAATTTAATGAAACGCAAGAACACTAAAAAGGTGAAACTTGCACGTAAGCTGAGGAGAAAATCAAACAAATTAGTATGATAATGAAGGTAAAACAATTTATAGGAAAAAAGTTCCACTTTTTCAGTGGTGTTGCGTTTTAATAAATTTAGATGTAAAAATTTTAGAATTTCTAAGGAACATTTTTATAAAACTAAGCTAAATTGGGTCAAATCTAAAGAAAAACCTATTATCTCCTTTTTAGTCCATATTAAAGAAAAGGTGTATTTTTTTAATAATTATTTTCTACTTTTTAGTCCATCTGAAAAAAAGGTGTATTTAAAAAGAAAAGAAGATTTTCTTAATAATTTTTATTCCTTAATAAGCTTTACTTTTCTACTTTCTCTAGCTTAAACATTTTTTCCACTTTACTAATTTTATTATCATATTAATTCACATTATTAGTATAATGTAACTTTCTTAACTACTTAGAATTTCTCTGAGTCAAGTTTCGTTTTTAAATGATTTGTTTAATTGCAATGTATTCTGATGCTACATTGTAAATTGCATTTTCTTCGATTATCTTATATTTAATTTTAAAATGCAATTTGTCAATATTTTCAATTTGCTAATAGCTAATCTGTTTAAAATTATCAAATTGCTATAAGAATTAATTCTAGACAAAATGAGAAGAAAAAAATTTATCTAGCAGCTTATGGATCATATTTATACAAAATGTTAGGCGGATCGTGTTATGAAAAAAAAAATTCAGGTCTCTAGAATAAGTGGAAGGTGCTCAAATAAGCCTCTGAATGTGAAAACATTTTTGTTGTTGTAATTCGGACAACACAGTGTAAGTATGTCTAAGTAAGAAAAAGTGTAAAAAAAATAAGTTTTATTTTACAATTCTATTATTAGCTTTTAAAAAAATATCAAAAAATTGAAGTTTGTTTAAGGATTTAAATAAATTCTGAGGTTCAGATGATTCGCTCAATCAAATCAAAATGGTTTAGCTTTGGTTTACTATAGGGTCTTTAGTGCACTTGAAAATTCTTAAAATAAATAAATGAAGTTATTGGAAATATATAAAAAATTAACTTTTTCTAAAAAACTTATTGTTAAGACAGTTGACAGAAGATTTGAAAAACTTGAAATTATATGAGCCATTAAAACATGGAGACTAGACATAAATCTAAGCCACTGATGTTTGAAGAAAAAAGTAGATAAATAAAAGTTTCTAGCATGAAAGAACAGTTACAGCAAAAGGATGCAACTTACCTAAGTTAAATAAGATTGTGTTTTGGTTGGAACAAGTAATGATAGCTTGCTTGAGCAGTGACCATGGTAGTATTTATAGAAAAGTAAAAAAGATGCAACTTTACGACAATGGGACAGGGGTTCTTGAATGAGAGTGGGCTTCATAAGAAATGCCAACCTAAATAAAACAAAAGTATTCCATTCAAACAATGAATATAGAGATAGAGAATGGAATCAGGAATAAGAAAATAGCAAGCATGAGAAAGAGAGGCAACCTTAAACAATTCTAACTTTGTAATGAATATAGTTTCCATAAGAGGTCAAAAATGAATAATAATCCAAGATACATAAAGTAGAGATACATTAAGAGTAAAAACTACCTCAATCAACTAGAGCTGTTATTAAATAAATAATCAAATAATATTTACTATAATATATTTACTATAAAATATATATATATATATATATATATATATATATATATATATATATATATATATATATATATATATATATATATATATATATAATATTTACTATAATATATTTAAATAATCAAATAATATTTTTTATTTGAAATTATTTAAACTACTAAGTACTAAACACTAAAATTAAAAAACCTTTTGAGTTAAAGAAACAGACAGACAACCTGAATCATTTACCTTCTCTACTCGACTTGTGTCTTGTTTCTGATCCCAGTCAGTGCTCAGTTTCTCCACATTCACCCTTAGGTGCCTCTGATCACAGTTTGATCACTCTAAAACTATTATCTCATTCTTCTTTATCATCAGACTCCTCCTATCATTGCACATCTTACAACTACCTTAAAGCTGACTGGAACTCTTTCCGTGATTTTCTTCGTGATGGCCCTTGGGTAGAAATCTTTCGTCTTTCTGTTGACAAATGTGCTTCTTACATAACTTCGTGGATTCAGGCTTTTTAAAAAGAAACATTTTAAAGAATTTGAGACTAATGACCATGAAAAAATTGATGATGAACTAAGCAGGGAATGACAGGAAGAATTTGATTGAACTAAAGATGATAGCTCATTTGAGCAGTGACCATGATAGTACTTGTAGAAAAAAGAAAGAGATGCAACCTTACAATGATGGGAGAGTGGTTCAAACTTGGCAACTCCAACTACATTTACGATGTGCTTTTGAACCTTGTCTGAAAATGAAAGAGTATTTATTCGTCAATATAGGAATGTCAACAATATTGCAACAGTTGTTAGTAGTAAATAACTAAGTTTTGTTGGAGTTAAAATCTACAAGCCACTGCTTGCCCCAAGCTGTTACAAAAGAGACTTTTTGATTGCTTAGCAACAAGCAGCTGATCTTTAATCTGATCTCTCTTGTTTTAAGCAATCAAAAAAGTGAAGACAAAAGTATTAAGTTGAGTTGTCAGCAAACTTTAACCACTTTAGATGTAAGATTGTCAGGAAGATTATTATTGTAGATAAGAAATGGTACAGGAGCAAAGATAGAACCTTGCATTACTATTACTGGAAATAAAGAAGAGTGCAGGCCTTAGAAAAGAATGCAGGTTTTAGAGAAGAGTGCAGGCCTTAGAGAAGAGTGCAGGCCTTAAAGAAGAGTGCAGCCCTTGGAGAATGACTTTAATACTATTAGAAAAAAAAAGATTTAATAATCTTATAATTTTTATATGAAGAAACTAATACTAGAGAAAAGACTAATGGTAGGATAGTTAGAGAGGTCAGAGTGTCTGATAGAATTTTAAAATATTGGAAACATTTATTAACAGCACTAATTATTTAGCACTTAATAACAGTTTAGCGAGGATTAAAGAGAATTCTGGAAAACACTTTAGTAAGATGACTGATGGTACTTTTGATGGAAATGTTGTCTGAGCATCAGACAGGACTTTTTTACATTGACTTCTTACAATAATAAAAAGACATTTGTTCTCAATTGATATGTTCTTGTAAATAAGACAAAAAAAATTAGAATGATTTAATATAGCAACTGCACTAGAAGGTGAAAAACGTTGACCCCAGTCAAATTTCAACCCTGTTCACTAATAAATACTACTAAAATCATCTAAACAATAAAAACTACTAAATAACTTCTTAAAAAATGTAGGCTATTGCACTGAGCCAGCTCAAATTGGGGGCACTGATTTGAAAAAAAGATATAAAAAAAAAAAAAAACGGTGAAAAAAAACCTTAGATTAATGACATGAAATGTATTTGATTAATGAAAAATCTTTGATTAATGACATGGGGCCTCCTGCCCTGTGTCACAAAATGTCTTAATCTGTCACTTCTTGCTGTATTAGTAATTTTTTAAGGACTTTCAGTATTAATAATGCGATAAGAATTTTTGAATTTCTATTGCATTATTAATACTGCAAATCACAGCTATGATTCAAGTTTTCAAGCAGCAGATTTTTTTGCTTTTGGCATTACAAAGCTAAAATTCAATTTGTATGGTATTCAGCTATGAAATGAAACAAAAAAAACAACACTTGTTGAAGGGAAAACCCTTTTTAAAAATATACAAGTTTTTAAAGAGCTTTTTAAAATGAATTAAAAAAAAATAAAAAATACTTTTTCTTTTTTAAAACAAAAAGTTTTTCATTAGTTTCACACATTTTGATCAGCTTTACACATTTTAATTGGTTTCACATATTTTGATTGGTTTTAAACATTTTAACTGGTTTCACACATTTTGATTGGTTTTACAAATTTTGATTGGTTTCATACATTTTGATTGGTTTTGCACATTTTAATTGATTTCACACATTTTAATCTGTGTTGAATAGTCTGTGCATTTACTATTGAGCAAAAAACAAAATTCTTTCTCAAAAAAAAAAATTACTTGCATAACTATCTAACATTTTTTTGAAAATTAATAAACAGGGAAGACCTGTAAAAATGCAAGTAAAAGCAGAAAATTTACTGAAAATTAATATTAAAAACTTTTATTAAAAAATATTGTTTTATTATTTTAATTGCTGAATGCAATGCTATCTTAGAAACAAAAAATCTTATCAATCCATTCAAAACATGGAGAGAAGTCAGAAAATTATTGAACTTTACAGCCTTTTTTAAATTTATTTCAAATATAATTAATAAAAAAAAAAGCAAAAAATTATGTTAAAATAAGATTTGAAACAAAACTAAATTAAAACTTTTTTTTTATCTTTGTAATTTTTTGCAAAAATAGTGCTGATGTGTGGTCGTTTTGGCCACTCATCAGGATTCAAATTAGTGTGAATCAACAGATTGCTCTGAAAGATGTTTTAATGATAATAAAAAAGAGGATCCAAGTTTATGCAAACTGACAGATTGCCATAAAAGATGTTTTTAATAATAAATAAAAAGATGATCCAAGTTAATGTGAAACAACAGATTGAAAGGAATTTTAATGACAAAAAAATCTAGAGGATCCAATAAATAATTAACTTTAAATTGGTGGTGTGAAAATGAAATAAATAAATGTTAACGTGAACTTTTAAACAGTACAAAATAAAGAAAATCTGATAATTTTTTGTTAGTTATTTTTATGGGTTATTTATATTTATCATAATAATAAAAATGTGTTTTTACCTGTTATTTATTTTTTAGTAAATAACTTTACCTTATCAGTATTACCTCCATTATCAGCAACGAAGAAATATTTACCTACTGCTGATAATGGAGAAATGTTTTTTAACCTTTTGCTGATGACAAAGAAATGTTATTTACCTTAGGCTGATGATGTAGAAAAGTAGGCTGAAGAACAGCATAGGTTGCATTTCTTTGAATAAGTACATGATTCTAAAAACAAACATAAAAGTGTCAAGCTTTAATTTAATGAAAAAAATATATTGGAGATACTCTCACACGCCTAATATGGGGGTTGGGGTTGGTAGGAATAAAAGAGGAAGGTGGGAATTTTAGTCTAAATCTAATAAACAGAGACTTAATAAAAGGGTTTTTTACAAAACACGCATAAAACAATTTAATTTTAGTGTGACTTGCGGTCAAATGCGCATTTTTTAACAGCTGTTTTACCATAATTTCAATAGCACTCAAATTAATAAATGAAATTCCATGACTTTTCCATGACTTTTCCATGAGTCTTCATAAACTTTGATGATAAACCATTGACCAGTAAATTATTCAGAACTTGCCATGCACTAAGCGTTTGCAACTTGGTCATTATAAAACAAGCAAACCAAAAACTAATTGGTAGAAAGTTCTGAAATCATGTCTGAAAAAAACTCTTTTTATTTTATTTCTCTGATAACTTACACTGCAAAAATATCTTTTTCAAAAGGGACTTAGAATAGACATACTAGTACTTTTCTTTGCATCCTAAAAATATCGCAAGCAGAAAAAAAAAAAATCATTTTAAAAAGTTCCATGAAATTTCCATGAATTTCAATGAAAATTTAGGAATTCCATGACTTTTTCCATGACTAAAAAAAATTCCATGGCATTTCCATGATTTCCATGACCAATGGCCACCCTGAATAAGTTTCATAATTTCATGAGAAATAAACAAAAAAATAAAAAGTTGCTTCTTAAAATAAAATATTTACATAAAGTAAATACACAACTATTTATATTAAAAGTATATATCAAAATAACCTATTGAAAAAAATATTGTATTTTTAAATGGTACAGATGTCGTAGACATAAGATTACACTGATTCTTTAAGTGAAAATAACTTTAAATAAGTTTGACTCCATAACCAAAAAAAATCTCCATTGTTCAACACTTATGTAGTTTGGACAGGTTTTTGTAGCACCTTTTAAATAATCTCCTACTTTTTATATTGTGTTTGAAAAAAGGTCAAAGTTCATATATAAACTATTTCAGTCATTTGCATTCAACATGTATATCACAGTGATATAGTTTGCCAAAGTTTGATTTTAGTGTTCATTGTACCATTGTGTTCAATTTGTTCAGTGTTGTAGTTTATTGTAGTTTGATTTTAGTTGGATCACAGTGACCACAATGTTGTACACAACACTGTAGTATACAGGGGTTGAAATAAATCTCAGACATTGGCACCCTTTGGACTGTTTTTGAGACCTGTTTGAGGGAGGCAAACTTTGTTCATTTTTACTGAAAAAATAAATAATGATTTGTTACCCTCTTCTCACAGGTCTCAAGAATTGTCCAAGGAGCGGCAATGTCTGACAACTATTTCGACCCTTGGTATAACATATTTTATTACTATAACAAATTCTTAGTAAAAAGATTGTCTGCCTCTATTTACTCCCTCCCTTATCCCCTGGTTGCTGCATGTTGTCAAAGATTTGGCATATTAAATACTTAAAATATTGTTCTCCAATATAGTTTCAGTTAAACGTCTTGACCAGGACTATTTATAATAATACCTCTTCAAAATGATTGTGTTGGGATGACATAGTACAACCTTAAAATAAACATAAAAACAAGTTTTAAACAGTATTGCTAATGAAATTTATTTTACTATAAAAGATTTAGAAATCGTCCATTACAAAAACAAAAATCATCTAAATAATTTAATTTGGAATAAAATCAAAACTTAGATCTAATAACTTTGGAGGTGTGTCTGCTCAACCAGTTTAAAAAAAAAACTTGTATCCATACATGTGTGTATCCAAACATATATGGATACACACTGATATACAACTTAAAAAGATCCAGTAAAAACTCAATTTTTTAAAATAAAAATAGTAACTATTTATTAGTAAGTTTTAAATTTTATGTTGATCAATATAATCTGTATTGATTACACATGCCAACTGGTATTTTATGTAAAATTCAATGTGTTCATATATTCTATGTATGGTCAAACAACTTACCAGCTTACAAGGATTAATTGACTATTAAGTTTGTAGTGTGCCAATAGACAACTAAGAGTTTTTATTAGCACACCCCTAAAAAAAATTTTTGAAAAAAATCTGTAATTTTGATTTTATTAATTTTTGACAACGTCACTTCTTTCTTTTTTCCACACTCCTAGTATTAAGTATACTTTGAGAGATTAAGTTTGGCATAATTCTCATAGAATGCAATATTGTATAAATCAATTTTAAGTTCTTTAATTCAGCATTTTCTGGTTGATATTATATATAATTATGGTGATAGAAAGTGTCTTTGACCATCAAAAAATGATACCATATATTTTCATATATTATATTTCAACGAATGGCCTTTAAGACACCATTTCTAATTTTTCTGATTTTTGCATATTATGTGCATTATGTAGATAAGCTAAATTCAAAATTTTTGATTGTTTAGAACAGGCAGCCAATCTTGAATCTAATTTCACTTTTATAAGAGATTAGGGTTTGCAGTGGTTTGTGAATTTTAACTCCAACAAAACTCAGTTACCTACTGCAAACAACTATCACAATACTGTTGACATTGCTATATTAATGAACAGCAACCCTCTCACTGAGCCCATTTCTTTACATCTTCTTTAATTATTGTTCACTACTGACCCTTCATGGAAACCATATATAATCGATAGTAAAGTTAGCATCTGCTAAGATTGCTTCTTATTATCGTGCTCGCCATTATCTTACTCCTGATACCATTCTCTACGTCTACAAATCTCTTATTTTAAACAAAAGCACATTGTAAATATGCTTTTGGACCTTGGACCTGCTTAATCTGCCAAACTTGAGCCTCTCACCTAAAAGTTGCATCTATTTCTCTTTTCTATAAATGCTATCATGTTCACTGCCAAAAGGAGCTATCATCTCTAGTTCCATCTACCAAAACTCATTTATTGATTGCAAGATTAACTCTAATATCACTCATTGATATTACATGCTAAGTTAATCATGCATGTTGTAAAGGTTTATATTTTTATTAAATGATTTAGAATTAAAAAGTAAATGCGGTAGTGGTGTAGTGGTAGAGCGCTCGCTTCATAAACGAGTGGTTCCGAGTTCGATTCCCACCATGTCCCTGGTAGTACCGCGCTCAACTCGTTTCTCCGCGCAGCGGCCTTGTTCGTCAAGGTTCGTGTTTCGGAGTTATAGAGTTGAGAGAGGGTTATAGCCACAAATAAGTAGCCTCCTCGTCTGTAGTGGCCGTCTCGGCCTTGAGGAGGTGAATTAAAATAAAAAAAATAAAAAAAACAATTTTAAGTAATAGTTAAAAGTTATGTTATGATTTAGTATATTATGTTTATTTAAGGTATAACGCCTAGTTTTTTAAAGAAAAAAAGTAAAAAACATTATTTAGTAATTTATTTTACTTATTTTGAATATCTTTTACTCTTAATAAAAACTCTATTTTTAGTATTGAATTAATTTTAAATCTTTAATGATACATTTGTTAATCTATTTATATAATAATTAAACATTTTTTTAGTTTACATGGTCATTGTGGTTATAACTTCCTTCTGGTAACGATTACTCTAAAGCCATATAGTCGGTAAAAAAAGAAAAAAAGGAATATTCAACTGCATACTTGAATGCTATGAAAAATCAGAGCCCAATAGGTAGAGTTCTAGTTCATCATAGCTGCAGAAGGATGTTTGTAGATCATAGAACAATCATACAAAAAAACAACCTAAATTGTTACTATCTTCTGTATCATCTTATTCTTGGGAACTCTTTTGACTGTAAAAAAGATTGTTTTCTTTGAGAAAAAAATGATGACAATAAAAGAAGCCCTGCTATTTTAAGTAAAAACTTTACTGATTTGTGAAAAACTTATTAAACGTTGCTTAGAAAGAAATGATGCGTGGAGAAAAACAGTAATTGGACGTTTAGAAAGTTGCATTGATCTCATCACAGTAGATGCTGTCTACTTTAACACATGTTTGATTAAGTTTAAACTGCATGTGCCATCAGAAAATATAAAAGGAAGAGCCCTTGATCTATCTATGTCATAACCATTTAAAAAAGTTTGTAATTGGTCAGAAGAGGACGCAGATAGTGAGTTGTGCACATTGAAGGAGCTTTATGAGAAAATGTACGAACTTAACAGAAATAATGAAAACATATATTCAATCAAATGGTTTAAGAAATTAAAAGATCATTACGGTAACCATATATTCTTTGCTGAGTTAAAAGGTTGAGCAGATAATGTTTGTTTTAAAGACATGGCATCTTATTTTGTTAATAAAATGAAGACAATAAAAATATTCGATGATATAGTAAGAGCAACAGCAAAAATTATTAAATCAGAATGCAAATCCCTTATAATAAAGATTACCTTACTACAATTCATATAGTTAATTGCAAAGATGATCCCAAAACATGGGTTACAAGTAGCTTAATGACATTTCTTTAATTGCTAATTCCATCCAAACTAAAACAAATAAGTGCTGGACAATGTATCGTACAAGCTTAAAGACCTAAATCAATAACATCATTTTTATTGGAATTAATGTTGAATTAGACAAATCTTTTGGTTCAATGTGCCTAGTTAATCATCTTTCGAAACTTGAATTCTCTATCACATCAGATGAAATTCTTTGCTTCAAACAATCTGCCATTAAAGCAAATGGCACTGTTAACCTACAAGAAAGGTTGCTATCTGTTGTTCAGCGGGTTGCTGATAATGTAGACCATTATACTGTCACATTATCTGGAGAAGGCACATTTCATGGAGTAGGTGTCATATTGGTTAGCTAAGTATCTCAGGCTCGGCCAAGAAGGGGTGCAACCACAGTCGATTACTGACCATGAAAATAAAATTTAGTTCTGACAACTTGGCCATATTTTTTAGATGTTTTGAGAACATTTTATGTATTTAAAAAATTTTGTATTGTGGATATTCATGGAAACATACATTAGAATATTCAACTTTATATTGAAAAAATTTTGTTTTCCGGACATACATGGAAACATACATAAACTTGAACATTCTCAAAACATCTTGGTGCGGAATAAAGAATATTTGCGTACACTAAAAAACTGCCAAATCTACTATAGGAAATAATGTTCTAGAGTATTCTGTCTTTATTATAGTATTAAATTTTCATTGAGATTTTTAGCCTAAATTGTTTTTAAGAATGTTATCAAACTATTTTTTTTAATACTATTGCTTATTCATAGAGCAACATTACAAAGCCATAAACGCTTTATACTTTTATTAATTGCTTACAAAAATAGAAGTTTCAAATATATATTTTTTAAATTATCAAAGTTTTGTAAAGTTTACTATATATAATAGATTTTAGTAGTATATTATTATTTTTTAATATAGAAAGTATGTATTTTTCAAGTAAATGTAATTTGATGTATGCTTTTTTTTATATTAATGTATTTTTTTAAAGTGATTTGTACAACTGATTTTGTAAACAAAACGACTGTGTTTTCAATGAAATTAATAACAAATATCGAAGAAAACTAATTATGAATAAACATACAAGAATAAACTTTTCAAACTACATGAAGCAATAAATAGTCATTAAAAAATATCCACTTTTTTATTTATTAAACAATTCAACTAGTGTTAGTTTTATTAAAATCTTGTTGAAATAAGACAAAAGTATATAAATAAAAGAAATTATATTATACTCTTTGATAAATAGGTGAACATTTGTTTCTTTATTAAACAATCATTAATAGTAAGTTGTTACTTTATATAAAAAATGTTGCATAATTTTATAAAAAAGTTAAGAAAATATCAGTTTTAGATTAATTTATTTTGTTTAAAGCTTTTATTTTGGGTTAAAAATTATTTATCTTTTAATGTCTGTACGGTGAGGGGGGAGGGGCAGATCTTTTTTTTTACCAATTACTCCTTGATTCACGCAAATTTTGATATAAAAATTGAGCAGAATATGTTTGCTATTCTAAACTGCCTTTTTTTTCAAAAACGACCCTATCTATAAAATTATGCAGTACAGTCCTGCTTTATTAGTAAAGTTTTTTTGTAATGGTCTCTCATTGGTCCAGTTAATCTTTTTTAGTGTTCTTTTTTGGAAACGTTCTCAAAACAACTAAAGAGCTGTGGCCAAATTGTCGCAACTAAACATTAAATGCATGGTCAGGAATCGAGTGCAATTGCACCCACTTCCTGACCAAGCCTGGTATCTGGATGTTAAAAAAGTTCTATAAAACATTAAAACAAAAAAAGAAAACATCTGATTTAGTTACAGATCATTGTGTTATGATATTATCTTATTTAGGATCTAGTAACATTGGCTTTCAGATGATTAAATTTAAACTTTAAAGAAAAATGGCATCTCCGATTATACTTCCCAGAGATTTAATTTTACTTTTTTTTGCAAGGTGGGTGGTTCTTCAGTTCCACTAAGTACCCACAGCCAAACTGAACAGGTTTTAAGCAACTAGTAACTGATATAATGATTTGTCCACAAAAACCATTAGTTTCGTTAGTTCAAATAATTGATCTTTTTGTTCCAATAATTGATCTCAATCATTCTGATGAAACATACATTTACTCCACCCTTGACTTTGT